GGAAAGAGAAAACCCGTATTAAGATTTTTTTCCATTTTTAGGTGTCTGAGCACTTTTAACATTCAGAGTAAAGATCACCACACTAAGCTTTGTGGTGATTAGCATGATTCTAAAACAAGTGAAATTTACTTAGTACCAACATAACTAAATTTTAAGCTATATTTAATATAAGAATCTATCTTCATATAAATTAATTTTTAAAATTCAGCATCCCAATTTATCCCTGTAGGATTTTCTTCTGTTAACCAGAGTGTGTGTGTTTTGCTTTTTTGTTCAATGTATTTTTTCTTTTTATATGTAACAAGTGTATATTTTTCTCAAAAAAAAGGCCATGTAACAGATATATTATTGTTATTATTCAATCTCAGAACTGGTGACAAGAAAAGTGTAGCCTGGAAGATACTTCCGAAAAAGCCATGTAAAAATCTGATGAACACATTGAATAATTTACACCAGCAGTTGGCAAAATGTAAGTGGATAACTTAATTAAAGGAGATAATTTAATCTGAGAAAGGTTCTTGCTTTGCCTTACTTATGAAAGGATATTTATTTTATCTAAAAAGAAAGTGTTTTTACAATTTTAAAAGTAAACGAGTGTTAAAGCAAAATTTGTTTGAAGCCAAATGAGGGACTTATAAAACATATATTTTACATCAACCAATTTTCATAGAACCATTTTAGAATAATAAAATTCAAAAGATGTTTATGCAGGTATTTTCTTTAAGTTTACCATTACTTAAATACCATGGGAAAAAATAAGGTTTCCATTTGTATATTTTCTTTATTCATAGAACAAAAAGTTTTAAAAGTCTAAGACAGATGTTTTAGACTACATTAGAAAATGCCGACAATTTCAGTGAGCTGAGAGCTGGGTGATATGCTTTTGACCTTCAGTGAATCTTAGTGCTGTGCTTACCTTTAATAGTTTGAAAATAGAAGTTTTTCAAAAGCCTTAAAAAGTTAAGCAAAAGGAAAATTGATAAGGATATGGAATATTTTGGTAAAAGAAAACAAGGATATGGAATATTTTGGTAAGAATATACATTGACAGTGATTCTAAATTACTAACAGGAAGAATTAGACCTTTATTTCTTTATCTAATGTTGACAGCAGCCCATTCAGAGTCTGTGATTGAATACTTGCAGTGTGAAATACGGTCAGTAATGATACCACGGTATTTGAGGTTGTCACTTACCTATCAGGTGAAATACAAACTCTAGGAGGTAGCCTATACCATTGAGGTTCAAGGTGCTTCTTTTTTTTTTTTTATTTTGGAGAGGTTTTTGCCAAAGGGCGCATGCGCTCGCCAGAAAGACAGAGAGAGACAGAGAGATAGAAAGCGAGAAATCATCCACCGGGGGGCTAGCCATACCGCAATCCCTTCTCCTCCATTCTCCTCTCAGGATCTTGGGCACTCACACATACACACCCGGCATGAGTTTAAGCCACCGAGTCCGGGACTCGAACCATGGTTGGCTACATGGGAGTCCAGCGACATAGCCATTATGCTAACTGGTCCCAAGGTGCTTCTGATATAGTTGGAAACAGACATGTAAAGAGACAGTGCTTACAAAGTACACTTCATAGCAAGTAGAGTATTCCAAAGTAGCTCATAAGTACTGGGCTATGAAAAAAAAATGACATCAAATATAACAACATTTTATCTTATAGAACAAATAAATAGTGTACATAATTTTGTTACCTTGTTGCTTTCTAAAAGTACTAGTACTTCTTTTGAATAATCAAGAAGTCCAGCAGCTATTGTAGCAATACTTAAATATTATTAACATCAATGAAATAGGGCCATCCCCATTGCCCAGTAGTTAATGGAGCCAGATCTCCACGGCCAGCCATAGTTCGAATCCTGGCCCTGGCAACTTGCAAAACATGTCAGGAAAACACAAAAACCCCCCCCCGGGGTTTTTAGCCATACCGCAATCCCTTCTCCTCCATTCTCCTCTCAGGATCTTGGGCACTCACACATACACACCCGGCATGAGTTTAAGCCACCGAGTCCGGGACTCGAACCATGGTTGGCTACATGGGAGTCCAGCGACATAGCCATTATGCTAACTGGTCCCAAGGTGCTTCTGATATAGTTGGAAACAGACATGTAAAGAGACAGTGCTTACAAAGTACACTTCATAGCAAGTAGAGTATTCCAAAGTAGCTCATAAGTACTGGGCTATGAAAAAAAAATGACATCAAATATAACAACATTTTATCTTATAGAACAAATAAATAGTGTACATAATTTTGTTACCTTGTTGCTTTCTAAAAGTACTAGTACTTCTTTTGAATAATCAAGAAGTCCAGCAGCTATTGTAGCAATACTTAAATATTATTAACATCAATGAAATAGGGCCATCCCCATTGCCCAGTAGTTAATGGAGCCAGATCTCCACGGCCAGCCATAGTTCGAATCCTGGCCCTGGCAACTTGCAAAACATGTCAGGTGTATGTTTTGCATACCCATGCATGTCCCAACAGGATGTGGAAATAGAAGAGAAAGGATTGCCATGAGACCATGCCCCATTGGTGGAGTGCTTTCTCTCTCCTCCACTTCTGTCTCTCTGTGTGTCTCTGGTGAGCACATGTACTCTCTGGCAATGAAAAAAAAAAATCCATTAATAGCCCATTTAGCTCTAGGAAAGGGCAGAATCTTAGAGTTAAACCAATAAACCTTTAAATAATAAGGATAGCTAAGGATTGCATAATACTTTGATAGCTTCAGAGAACTTTCTATTTTTCTTTTTTAAAATTTGCCAGAGGGCACATGCACTTGCCAGAGAGTCAGAGAAACAGAGGGAAGGGGAGAAAGCAACCTCCAGTGGAGCATAGGCACACTGCAGTCTCTTCTCCACTTCTCCATCCTGTTGGGATTTGGGGTACTCACATGCACGTGCTTGTCATCCATTTCAAGTCACCGGGGCAAAATTCAAGCCATGTGGTTGCTCATGTAAAATCTGGCTTGTGTAACACTAGGCCACCAGGCCAACCTGAGAGAACTTTCATATGCATTTTTCTTTGATTGTCCCATGTATGAGGGTAATAAGGTTGAGAGAGGTGAAGGAGCTTGTCACAGATTATACAGTTCACGCAGATGAAGCTAGGATTAAAACCTAGACCTTGTAGTTCTAATTCCTGCAACCTTTTTAGTACTCGCATATAGAAAAAACAGTTTCTCAGTTTTTCCTTCATTTTCTTGACCTTTTTGAGGATTATACTTACCATCGTAGAATGGGTATGATGCGGGTTTGTCTGAGTTGCTCACGATACATAGAGATCGTGTGTCTCTGATGAAGTATTGCAGATGTGAGGCTGCGTTCCTCATCACATCCTCATCAGGTCATGCACAATTCCAGTTTGTCCCGTGATGGATGCAGATACTTACCTGGTCGCTTTATTCAGCCATTGCCTACCAGCCTGCTCTACTGTAAAGTTACTGTTTTACTTCCTAATGGCTTTTGCATTGAATTATTCAAGAAGAGAATCATTTTTCATATTTAAATTCCTTTTGTTCCTCCTGCAGACATTTATATTAAAAAAAAAAAAAAAGGAGAGAAAGGACCTGTGTTAACCCCGTATTCTGTTGACATGGTTGTTGTGATCTTTATTTGTTAGCTTATATAGTTATTTCGGAACATGAGCTTGTTTTCCTCATAGTAGTCAGATAAACAGGGATATTATTATGTTTAATTTGATACAGTGTACTCAATGGATCCTTAAAAAATGATATGGCAAGCTTTGCTAAGGTTTATTTATTTTGAAGTTATGTAAACCATGAGTTGAGGTAGTGTAAGTCCTTTGGACAACACAGCCATCCTGGACATTAGTCTTGACAGCTGGGAGAAAGCACTAACACTGTGTTTCCTCACAGTGCAGCACAGACCCAGAGACGACGGGCTAATGGACTTGGCAATGAATGACTACGATTTTAATTCTGGAAAGAGGCTGCACATGATAGATTTAGAAATCCAAGAGGCATTTTTGTTTTTTATGGCCTCTATCTTAAAAGGTTACAGATCATACTTAAGGCCAATAACACAAGCCCCATCTGAGACAGCCACAGATGCAACCTCTCTTTTTGCCCTTCAAGGTGAGTGATTGCATAGTTTTACAACTTTCATATTATCAAGGTTAACCTTGCAATGATTCAGTTGATTTCTGGGTTAGTAACTCATATTTATCAAAAATATGTACCTGTTTTGAGACTATGTGAATACCAACTCTCTTGGTAATCCATTTCCATAGGACTAGTTCTTTCTCAGGTACATTAGATATAATCTCATTAGCAAAATATGTGAAAGAAGCGATCTATAAATTATAGAGCCTCCTAACCATGCGATGTGTGCTATTGTGTGTGTTGATGTACGTATGATGCTTCAGCTTTCAGAGCAGCTAGGCAGTATTGCGGTGCAGAGAAGCCCTGGGATGGCCACCATCAGGCTTGAGCACCTTCATTTGTTTTATTTCAGAATACTTTACAAATACTGTTTTCCTGTTTGCACTATGAAGTGAAAAAGGTTGGGAAGCCCTGGAGCACAATTAGTGTCATAATATATTTGTACTTCTTTCCTCATATTTAACTTTTGAAAGAGAAATTCATTTAGTAAGTTTATAAGGAGTGCCTCCAAAGCGAGTAGAAGTGCAGATAGTGTTACATAACACAGACATGGCACGATGAGAAGATACTGTTACTTTTCCCACAGAGCTATAATCAGGAGGGTGGGCAATGAGAAAATAATATGAATGAACAACTTTAGATCTGAAGAAGTAATATTGAGCCATGACCTGAAAGATGAGAAGAAGTTAGTCAGGCAAAAAGTCCCCAAGGCTGGAAAGAGCTTGAGTTCCTGGGCCCCAAAAAAGGTGCAAGTGCCAAGCTAGCCCTGTTTATAAGGAAGTCAGGTCCCTTATGGCTGACCGAGTGGTTCAAATCACAGTCCTGGTGGCTTGAGAAACCCTCCATATGTATGTGCATGTATGCCCAAAATCCTGACAGGAAGGGGAAGTGGAGGAGAGGTGATTGTGGCACAGCCAATCCCTACGGGGGGTGCTTTCTCCCTTTCCCTCTCTGTCTCTCTGTCTCTCTCTCTGGCAAGTACATACACCCTCTGGCAATTTAAGAGAAGGAAGCCAGCCAGCCAGCCAGCCAGCCCAAGTGCAACATAACTGAGTAAGGTAGATGGTGAAATCGTGAAATTAATATTTACTCTGGTTTTAGTAATTAAATTCATAGATATAAATGAATACTAGAAAATATTATTACTGTTGGGAAATTTAGGGGGAAATGTTTTATTTTTGCAATGGCTCCCACATGTGTGCATGGAGAGCGTGAGAGCGAGCATGCGCACATACCAAGCTTTCAGACAAAAAGCAAGTGATTTAAAAATACTTTCAAATTTACTAGCTTGCGTGTAATCTTTGAGATAGTGAGGGGATGATGGCAACAATTCTGGATGAAAATTGGGGAAATCTTGATTTATGTTTCTTTCTTATTGCTTTGTCAGGTCATTTCTCCTCTCAGGAATCTTCTTTTTCATGGAATGGCGAGGATGTGTAGGGGTAGATATGACCCAGTTGAAGCTCTTTCTAGCTCAGAAATGCCATCAGTCTCTGAATGTTATGCATTCTGACATTATATATTTGTATTGAACAGCTTTCTTAAGAAGCCGGGACCGGTCTCATCAAAAATTCTATAACATGATGACCAAGACACAAATGTTTATTCGCTTCATTGAAGAATGTTCTTTTGTCAGTGATAAAGACGCAAGCCTGGCATTTTTTGATGATTGCGTAGATAAAGTAAGTAACAATACATCTACAGTGCCCTAACTTATGTGACTGCTATAATTGTTATGAGCTGTATTTTCTGTTTATAGCTTTTAATAAAATCTGAATTAATTCACATTTCATCATTGACCACTGGTAATGAAAGTTTTAGTAGCCTGCTAGAAATTATAGCACACACCTCTTAGAAGTATCTTGCAGGATTTTCCTAAATCATGAGTTTTGCTTTGACAGTTGGGTCCCCAATCCTACCTGCCCACTTCTAGCCTGGGAGTTTTTTCCAAGTCTTGGACCTTCTGTTTGAACATCCTTAATCTTTACCTTTCCTTGTTAGCTAAAGTGGACTAGTCACATGCTGAGAGTAGGTACAGAGCATAATTGGTATTTCACTTGGATATTGCTACACTTGAGAGTGAATTGTAGCTTAAATTAATATTTCCACAATGGTAATTTTACATACGAAACCCTTCAGCCCTAACATTATTAGGAGGGACAGACCAAGGTGTATATCCATGCGTGAGGGAGAGAGGAGGTAGGAGAACGATGGCCCAGAGAGGGGGGTTTAAATCCTGGATAGGATGAGGAGAGAGGAGCAGCCTCGCGTGGGCAGTGTCAGAGCCAAACCAGATGAGGGGAGCATCCACGCGGAGGAATGGCCTAGCACGGAGAATCAGAAGACAAGCAGGATGAAGATGGTGTCCATGCTTGAAGGCGATTCTGCCACAGGGTGTCCAAACCTAAACAGGATGAGAAGAGTGTCCACAAGGCGAGGACAGACAGGGTGGAGAGTCAGAAAATGAGCAGGATGAGGAGTGTCCCATGTGGTGGGTGCAGCAAACGGGATGACAGGGTTTGGTCTGGGTGAGGGAGGTCCCAGGTGGAGGTGGGTTTTGTCTGGGGCTTGGGGGATTGTTAAAAGCCGATGGTACTTTAGGGATCATCTAAAGTACCCTTGCCTTACACCTGGGACCAAACATTTCTCCAAGAAGTCTTGATTCCTTTTTAGTGGAGAATGGTATTTAGAAGCCAAAATCAATGTGTTAGGAGTACTCGTTGCTACTTGAGTATTGCTGTTCCCAGGTTTTTTCTGTCATGTCCAGAGCTAGGGAGAATATACATGTGTATACACATAGACTTTTATGTTTACATATATTCTTATTTCTGTATCTATCACCAAAAGCCAACGATGCCAACACTACAGGGTTCATTCTGGTGTTCTCCCCTTCCGTGATTGTGAATCCCTTGTCTGATAGTAAGAAACTTCCTTATCTTTAATATATGTATATATTTTATCAACAAACCCTCATATGTAACATTTTCCCATCTTTATCATCACTGCTACATCCCCTAAGTAGATGACTCATTCACCAAATGTGCTAGAAAACAAGGGATTGTCCCAAGAATGAAGGAGACATAGTAACGCAAAACATAAACACACAGGGACCAGCAGTTAGCGTAATGGCTATGTCGCTGGACTCCCATGTAGTCGACTGCAGTTTGCGTCCCAGACCCAGTGGCTTAAAACTCACGCCGGGCATGTGTGCGTGTGTGCCCAAGATCCTGAGAGGAGAATGGAGGAGAAGGGATTGTGGCGTGGCCATCCCCCCTGGGGGGTGATTTCTCGCTTTCTGTCTCTCTGTCTCTGTCTGTCTGGCGAGTGCATGCACCCTATAGCAAAAACCTCTCCAAAAAAAATAAAATAAAATAAACACACAGACACACATATGCACATACATAAAAGTCAATTTGAAGGAATTCTAGAATCACTAACAAATTAAAGACAATTTGAGCATCAAAAGTTAGTAATGTGGCACCGACAGATGGTATGGTGGTTAAGGAGTTGAACTCTCACATAGCCAACTGTAGTTCAAGTCTTGGATCTGGTGGCTTACTTTCTCTCTCTCACCCCCTCTCTCTGATCAAATTAAAATAATAAGAAGTAATAAAATTAAGTAAAACAATTCTTTAAAATAAAAAAGTAACATGTTAACTTATTGAATAAAATAAGAAGCCATTGGTCTGCATGTAATCACTCTACTGAAAGTCTGATAATAAGCAGGATCTTAACATAGTTCCAGAGTACCTCCCCACAATATACATATTCAAAATAAAGGGGAAAGAGGGAGCCAGCAGGGAGTGTGGTGGATAAGGCATGAGACTCCCACATGGTTGACGATGGTTCAAGTCTCTGACCTGACAGCTTGAAAATCACACCTGTGCATGTGCGTGCATACCCAGAATCCCAAGAAGAGAATGGAGGAGAAGGGATTGCAGCATGGCCATCCCCACTGGAGAGTGATTTCTTTCTTTCCCTCTCACCGTCTCTGTCATTCTCTGGTGAGTGCACACACCCTGTGGAGGGGGGAAGCTAAAATAAATAAATAAACAAAGAGGGAGAGAGTAACTTTATAGGGGAAAAGCCTGGAAGATACTACCTTAATCCAAGTGGGCAAAACAAATATCTTCGTGATGAGGCAAATCAATGTCATGTACCCTTAATTTAAGGTTTCATGGAAATGCAACATTAGCACTGCAGTGTTCCTGCCAAAGACGTGTGGCCTGTATCATCTCGAAGCAATACCAGACACACACAATTAGGGACAGTTTACCACATACTTGCTCCGTAATCAGTAAGAAGTCCATCACTTTCACATTTATGTGACTGTACAAAATCAATGATTTTTTTTTTCCTTAAGGGGCATGTTCTTGCCATTGCATAGACTGGCTTCAAACTTGTGATCCTCCTGCCTCAGTTTCCTGAATAGCTAAGATTACAGGCATATGCCACTGCACTTGGCAGGTTTTTGTTTTCATTTGGGAGATTGTTTTTTGCACAACAGCCAAAATACAACTCATCCCTTTAACATTCAGAAATCAGCTCAATTCTGATCTTGACATGCAAATATCTTTTTTAAAAATCATTTATTAAATTTTATTTATTCATTCATTTATTTTAACTTGACCAGAAAGAGACACAGAGAGAGAGAAAGAGAAGGAGGGAAAGTGAGAAAGCAAGCCACCAGGTCCGGGACTGAAACCGTGATCGGCCTTGTGGGAGTGTTCAGCGCCTTAACCACCACACCACCTGCTGGTCCCGACATGCAAATGTCTTTACTGGTTGTTCAATAGGTACTGAATCTATCTTGTTACCTATTTATAAAAATGAAAAGTGATTCTCACTATGCATGGTATCATTGGAAAAAATCCTATAGAAATCAGGATTACTTTAATCCTGCCTGTTGTCATTGTGACTTGAGTCGTTTAGGCTTTCTATGTTTCCTTATCTATGTTTAAATGTTGTGAGAAGAAAATTATTACTATATCTCACAGTGTTCTGAGTAGTGTCGTATCAACTAGAAAGGAAATACTGCAACTATTTTAATATTCGGTTGGATTTTATTCAAGTTTATAAGTAGTTCATTTGGTTTCATCATTTCATCACATAGGAGTGTGTATATATATATATATATATATATATGTTTTTTTTGAGCGGTTTTTGCTATAGGGTACGTGCCCTTGCCAGAAAGACACAGAGAGACAGAAAGCAAGAAATTACCCCCCAGGGGGGATGGCCATGCCGCAGTCCCTTCCCCTCCATTCTCCTCTCGGGATCTTGGGCACACACGCACACGCGTCCAGCGTGAGTTTAAGCCACCGGGTCCAGGACTCTAACTGCTGGTCCCTAAATACGTATTAATTTTTAATGTGTTATTCTAACTACTTTTTAGGACATTTTTTAAAAATCAAATTTATTTAGATGTAACATACAAACACTGAATTCATAAAAATATACAATTTGGTGAATTTTGACAAATGTATTTCTATATTTCCATAAATATAAAATATATAAATATAAAACATCTTCATCATTCCAGAAAGGATGTTGTTTTATATTTTGAATGGCCTATACACAAACAGGCTTTTAGAACCCTGCCTTTTGTAAGTTGAGTTCTACGTACGGAACTTTGAAATCCTGTTTATTTTGAGGAGATAATATCATAGCTGCTTAACAATTTTGTCTTCATTACATAGTTATACTAAGAATTTGTTTTTCAGTATTTTAATCAAATTGGGTTTGGGTTGTAATAATAATGGAATTTATTTTTATTCATGGAGGGGGAGCTTTTAGGGTGTCACAAAGCTATTTTGTAGCTGTTAGGGTGGGGTTGTAAGACAGATGATTTTTTTAGAATTATTTTTTATTGTCAATTGTTATGTACATATTAATACATATCCATAATAATACTTATTTCTTGAGTATAATGTGATCATATTAGAGAAATTGATATATTCATCACCTCGGATGTTTATCATTTCTTGGTGAAAAAAATGTGTGAAATTCTGTCTTCTAACTATTTTAAAACATACAATTTATGTTTAACTATAGTCCTTTTTTGTTTTTTTCTAGTTTTTGCCATAGGGTTCATGTGCTCACCAGAGAGAGACAGAGGGAAAATGAGAAATCACCCCAAATCACCCCTCTCCCCAGGAGAGGAAGAGGGGATGGCCACATTGCAATCTCTTCTCTTCCATTTTCCTCCTAGAATTTTGGGCATGCACACCCGTGCACCCAGCCTGAATATCAAGCCTCCAGGTCTCGGACTCAGCCATGTGGGAGTCTAGTGCCTGAAACACTATGCCATCTGCTGGCTGCCCCCAGTGCAGTTTTTTTAAGCTGCCAGATCTGGGACTTGAACCATAGTCATCCATGTGGGAGTCCAGCACCTTAATCTTCACGCCACCTGCTGATCCTAACTATAGTTATTTTACTGTGCAAAGAAATGTTAGATACTTATTCCTCCTATCCAATAAAATATTATGGTTTACCTCATCTAGTATCTGTGAAATTGAATATTGGCAATAAATAGAAAGATGTGTGTTAAAAAGTAATTTTTCAGTCTAGCTGCCATAGTACAGGCTGCTTTGAGGCTATGTCCAGCCAGCTGGGAACACATGGGAGGTTCTGTTTCGATTCCCATCTGACCTGAAGACCGGGTGCAAGCCTATAATCCCAG